GAGTCTCTCCCTTACTGGTTTTATCATCCTCTAGGTGTTCGTATCGCCTTTTTAACAGCATTAAATGGGCCGCCTCTAATCTACTCTTTACTAATCTAATCACTCTATTCAAGATGCAAAGCCCAAAGGTTAGAGTGAGCATCAACAATATTAGAGGTCCGGCAATGGTTGACAACAGTGTAGTTAACCAGGGAGAATGATTAAACCACGATTCATACCATCCTTGTTGGGCTTAACATAAATCTTAATAAACAATATTATAGTCCACAGTTTTTCACATACACAACTGCTGAAGAGTGAGCAAGCCCGTCTGCCATACAGCTGAAACACGATTGCTGGTGGTTAGGGGTTTTTTTCAGCCTGCCTTAGTATAATGCACTGCTTCAGGCACCCTTCATTCTTTCCTCTTAGCTTTCTACCAGCTGACATCAAAGCAACATGCGAAATATCTACTGAACTGTCAGTATTTTGCCTCTTATTTTTGTTGTTCCTCCTGCTGTTATTTCAAGCTCGGATAATGCAGCGCGCTGGAGGCGATGCGGGTTAATAGGGTGATTACCTCAGCAAGAATGGTATTTTAGTTGTTGCAAAGTGAAGCGTTGTTTGGGTATCTTCCCCCTGAATCAAGGCTGTTTGCTCTTTCAGCTGCCAGGTGCAGATCTAAAAGCCCTTGTGCTCCACCCCGTCTCGCTGTAGCTTACACGTGTGGTCTGAAACAAAAACAAAGCGGACCAAATTTACTGCTTATAAAAAATAAGCTGTCGAGTACAGTAAGGTGATAGATAAAGGATGAAGTGTCTCCTGCTGTATTTAAGAGTTTAGGCCAACTAAATAATGGACTCGACAGTGGGGATTGATTTATAATATGAAAAAAAAAGCCTTTTGGGGTGGTAGGGGCCACACTAATCCTGATTTTATTTCTTTTCCCTTTTCGAAAGTGAAAGGCGAGGGGAAGGACTGCAGAGGGGAGGGATCAGCTAAGCGAAAGGAAACCACAGGGAGGGGTGGATCTGAAATAGGCTGTGCTGCATGCGCTGTGCGGAAAAAAAAAAGTCCTGAAGATGAAGAACATTTGATCAATAGTAACACAACAACCTCGTCCTCTTTCATGTTCTAAAAATGATCTGCACTTTAGCAATCCTGCTAAGGTTACAAGAACTTCATTAAACTGGACTCTCAAGGCAGCTGACCTAAGTGTCCTGATTAGAGTAGGAAAATCAGGCAAAGTCCAGATCATGGCCAAGGCAGATAAAGTTGTGTGATTCATGGGGAAAGATGCACGTTTGTTGTTTTGTTTCCCAGCATATCTCAGATTGCTTTAAGTTTCTGTGGGGGAGGGACGAGTAACAAGATGCCTTGGAGTCAAAGCAAGATGAACCAGTATGCCAACGATTTTAACTTCTGTTTTGGATTACAAGGGAGTTGGAATTGTCTTGCCTAACATCTTAGCAGGCAGAGGGGTACCTGCCCATCACAAAAAGCTTTAATACTATAAATGAGAAGCTGTGCTCAAAGAAAGTCTTCAGACATGGAGAGAAACAAAAGCTGGCTAGTGGAGGAGAAAGCCAGGTGTTCTCCTAGCTTCACAGGCACCTGAAGAAGAGTTGGTGAGGCAGGCAGAGCAAAAAATAAATTTCCTGCATCGCCTCTGGTTTTGCAACTCCCTGCTGTTTCTGGTGCAAAGACTATGTTACACTGAGCAACTCTGTAAACAGCCTGATTTCTGTAACTATGTTCCAGACACTCTGGCCTGGCCCTGTGACTACTCCTCTGGTTTGCATGGCCCCACAGACTTCTCTGAGAACGCCGGGCATGCCAATAGTACATGACTGTGCCTTGTGCTCTGAGCTCCAAATGAGAGTAGGGAATTGTGAACTGAGCTGCTTTGAAACGTGTTTTGAACACACAATCTTTGTATTTCTCTTGTGACTCACTTAAGAATAGACTGCAAGATCAGTATATAGTGCTTTAATTGGCATGAACTTTGTATGGCATGATCAGTGATGTGGATGAGGGGATCAAGTGCACCCTTGGTAACTTTGCAGGTGACACCAAACTGGGTGGAAGTGTTGAGCTGCTGGAGGGCAGGGAGGCTCTACAGAGGGACCAGGACAGGCTGGGTTGATGGGCCAAGGCCAACTGTATGAGGTTCAACAAGGCTCAGTGCCAGGTCTTGCACTTCAGTCACAACAACCCCATACAATGCTACATGTGTGGAGAAGAGTGGCTGGAAAGCTGCCCAGCGGAAAAGGACCCGTGTGTGGTTTTTGACAGCCAGCTGAATATGAGCCAGCAGTGTGCCCAGGTGGCCAAGAAGGCCAACAGCATCCTGGATTCTTGTATCAGGAATAGCGGAAGTGGGGAAGTGACCGTCCCCCTGTACTGGGCACTGGTGGGCCCGCCCCTCGAATGCTGGGTTCAGTGTTGGGCCCCTTACTCCAAGAAGGACGTGGAGGGGCTGGAGCTTGTCCAGAGAAGGGCAATGAAAAGCGGGGGAGGGGTCTGGAGCCCAAGGCTGATGGGGAGCGGCTGAGGGAGCTGGAGGTGTTCAGCCTGGAGAAGAGGAGGCTGAGGGGAGACCTTAGCACTCCCTACAACTGCCTGACAGGAGGGGGGAACTGGGGAGGGGGGTGTTGCTCCCAAGCAACAAGTGATAGGTTGAGAGGAAATGGCCTCAAGTTGCACCAGGGGAGGTTTAGATTGGATATGAGGAAAAATTTCTTCACTTGAAAGTGTTATCGGGTACTGGAAGGGGCTGCCCAGGGAAGTGGTGGAGTCACCATCCCTGGAGGTGTTCAAAAAATGTGTAGACGTGGCACTTTGGAACATGGTTTAGTGGGCATGGTGGTGTTGGATTGACAGTTGGACATGATTATCTTAAAGGTCTTCTCCAACCTTAATGATTCTATGATTTTGAGGGATTTGCACTGAGGTCACATGCTATCAATTCCCAGGTATATCGTATTTGGACAGTATGCAGTAGTAGCTATTTTGAAATCTGGGTCGTGCTTCTACTGAATTCTTTTAACCAGACTTGCAGGTAAGAAGCGTGTGCTGCCTTCCCCTTTCAGAGCCTGAATGCTGGCTCCACAGAGAATCACCCAGTATGCTTGTATATGTATTCACCGGGTGGTCAATCTCAGAAAAATCTTTCTGATATTTTTATTAACCTGAAGGGACAGCACTGCGGTGAAAAAAGAATCCAAATTCTTAGTCTGGTTCATTCTTCAGCAAATCTAGACATCCAGACCTGGTTAATGTCTCTTGAAGCCTGCTCAGAGCAAGATGTTCAGGCTTGAACTGGTGCCTCTTGATGTCTCTGTTCTTTAAAGGGCAGGGTCTGACTGCCAGGCAGTATCTCGCTCTTTGCTGTGTTGCTGTAGCCATATCGCTATGCTGTATCCCACATTCCCCCAGCCTCTCTGTTAAAAATTGGGGAACTTCTTCATCAATCTTCACTGAATTTTCTTCCTCAAAAGCATAAAGAGCCTGGCAGCAGAGCTCATGAGGGAGGGTGCCTCAAATTGTGTTGGAGGCTTCAGTATTAAAGGGATTGGGAACCTGTGGGTTGGATGACTTCTGCAGATGGAGAGAGATAGGTTAAACACCATCTGACAGATCTATGACTGACTGCAGAATGTACAGCCGTTCTGATCAAATAACATCTCTTACATCCTTACTTTTAAATGTCAGGATTAGCCAGAAACTTGGATAGGTAGATTATCCAGGACATGAAGGCAAATATAGGGCTTTACATGCAAGAACTGAAAATCACCTTTACTTGACAGCAGTTTTAAAGTTATTGTGGTTGGCAGCTAGAAAAATCTTCACACTTGTTGTGACATCTTCCTTTTAATGGTGTATCTCAATTAGTGTGGAAATACCGCAAGCGTACAATGCCCTTACAGAGAGTTGTTAGCATGGTTTCTGAGGCCTTGCCTACAGCTTTGCAGGTGCCACAGTCTTGAAGTCATTTGATGTTCTGATCTTATTTTGTAAATAGTATTGCTGTACCCAGGAGTGGCTGCTTAATTAGTTCTTACCTGTAGTCCTTGGAGTTCAGTGCTTCTTGCTTACAGACGTAAGGGACCAAGGGAGAAGAGGAAGGGTCTGCAGGTAGTATTATCTGCTGAGATGGCTTTAACAGTTATTTTATAGCCAAGTAATCTGTTAAACACTACTGAAGAAGAGGGTGGGCAGATCCAAGTGATTCAGTTCTAACTTACGAGTATTTTCCATACCAGCAATTGTAAAGATTTGTCAAGCTCTTCTGTAGAAGAGGTGTTAAACACAAAACCTTGCTATAGGTTTAATGAAGATTGTAATCATCCAAATGGTGTCTTGTTAACCTCTTTTTCCTAGTTGCTTGACCTTATGTTTATTCAGATTGGGTGGATCTCGTGTGGTTGTAAATATCTAAGTTAGAGGTAGATAAACAAGTAAACTTGTAAAACAAGTATAAAATGTGAATACATCAGTAAAAATGTTTGTGTTTATCTAACTGTCTCTCTCCTCGTTCAAGTTGCAGGAGTTATTACAGCTGACTTTCTATCAGGATTATTTCACTGGGGAGCAGATACCTGGGGATCTGTGGAGCTACCCATAGTTGGAAAGGTTTGAGATTCTTATCCTTAAGCTTGAAAAAGTTACGAAACACTTCCAGTATTCCCAGCTGCGTTGGACAGGGTATATAAGCTGTATCTTTCTTGCAGTCTTGCCAATGTAACCACCCCCAGAACCCTCCTCCCCTAAGTGGCACGGTGTGTCACTGGTAAAGTGCCATGTTTACGCTCGGCCTAGGTGACACGTGCAAGGTGACACTGTTCCATTTTATCACCTTGTTTAAGCTTTGCACACAGTTTTGCAATACCAGTGTTCACAGACCTTCCCAAGGGACTGCGGGAATGGCCTGTGACACTGCCAGCGTAGAAACCTGGCTGGAGTAGCATAGATCTTCCCAAAGGCCAATAAACGTAGAGGTGTGTAGAGCTATTCCCATAGCTAAACTCTCAAAAAGCTGCCTTGTAAAAACATGAAGAAATCTTTCCAGTTCTCTCTGCTGCTGGCCCCTATTGTAAATGTAGTAGAGTTAGAATGGTGATGACTGAGGATGTAGATTTGAGATGTACTATACATCGGCAGCTACAAATGCCAGGTGCTTAGCGGAAGCTGCACTGACTTCTATAATAAGCAATAATCTGTTTTTTAAAATAAACTTCTTCATAGCTACCATTAATTACTCCTCACAGTGCAATATTAGAAGGTTTTCTATTAAAAGAAAAAAAGTATATGGGATAGTCCTTGTAATTATCCTGAAATACATGAATTAGAACAGAAGAATTAAGGCTGTTGGTTTTAGGCTTATTTTTGTTCACCTTCAATAGACTTAGTAGTCCTTGAATCCTTGTATCTCTGGACCATAGTTCAAAAAAAAAAAACCAAAACCACCCCAACAAAACACTGCAGGAGACTATGGACTAAATAAACAAGAGTTCAGACTGATCAGGACACCTTTGCCTAGACTGTAGAGGATATGTGTGCAAAAGGCAAAGAAGTGTACTTGTTTTACTGTCCCAGTCCTACCTATCACTTTCACTCTCTCTCCTCTGGGATTGTATATGCAGATGTGATTTCTACTCCTAGGGGAGACTTTTCTTATGTTCTATTTGACTTACATTGGTTTGTCTAGTCATTTAACTTGCATTTAGTCTGTTAATGCTATCATCTGTAATCCATACAAAATGCTAGGCTGAATTTTTTGGGTTTTAGTATTTTCTTGGTGTGTGCTGCTTAGCAAGTGAGTTATATTTGTGAATTTCACAAATACTGTCTGTGAAATTAGGATGCTGATGCTTTGGTTTTGAGATCTAGAGACTAAAGGTCCTAAGTGAAAATTAAGAATAAAACTGAAAAGCAGTGAAAAACTGGATTCAAGTCTGGGAACTGAATTGCTTCACAAATGTAGATCAAATTACCTGAAGTGTTACCATCACAAAAGTTTGACTCCCACTTATGTGCTTTGTACTGTGGAACTCTCTGAAACTCAGTCATCAGGTTTGAAGAGCATGCAGGGGTTTTTGGGGTTTTTGTATTTTTCTTTCCAAGATCATTATTGAGCCATGGTGTCGTGTTTATCAATTTGTTTTTTCAGGCTTTCATCAGACCCTTTAGAGAACATCATATTGACCCCACAGCAATTACCAGACATGATTTTATAGAGACCAATGGAGACAACTGCCTTATGACGCTAGTCCCGTTGGCAAACATGGCATACAAATTTGTTTCTTTTTCCCCAGGTAAGCTGTTACTTCTGACTTACATGGATTTAGCATTTTTTGTTGATATTTAAACAAACATTTGTCTGTGCGAGGCTAGGAGAAATCAGTGAATGCGAGATGACAAGTAATAGCTGTTGGAAGCATGATGCTCCTGGGAGGAGGGAGGGAAGGTTGGTTTGGGTTTCTTTTTCCTTGAAGGTGGAGCAACTAGAAAGCAGGGCAGCTAGATTCTCTAGCTCAATAGAGAACCTGTGCCTGAGCAGTCTTGCAATGAAGCATTAGAAGTTACAGTAAATACCCTTTTTATAAGAGGGATCAAACTGTACATATAGGGAAACTCATTGTTCTCAAGTGTATAAATATGCTTCATCTCTCTGTAGAAGTACTTTATTTGCAAGCTAGAAGTGCAAGAATTAGAGGATTAATTTAATTGTATAGATGGTAAACTCTGAGTTTAACTTCCAGTTTATGGCGAGTTGACAGATGTTGGCACTTACCAGCCTGTCTTACGACGTTCTGGAATTGCTTATGGCTCCCTGGCTCTCGTGACACCTTGCCAAAGCAGCTTCAGTGAGGCCGTTGTTAGTTCCTGCAGCACCAGGCAGCTCTGTCTGGGCAAGACTTCATTTTCCTGGTAGAAATTTACCTTTTCATAAATGGTATTTAAAGATACACATCTTGTTTTGCAGAGGCATTGTATGAAACATGTCCTTGGGAGTGTTATGTCTTTGCCCTTATCATCTTCATAACCATGACGAACCAGATTCACAAGTGGTCTCACACGTACTTTGGTCTTCCACGCTGGGTAATATTTCTACAGGACTGGCATGTTATCCTGCCACGGAAGCATCACAGGATCCATCACGTGTCTCCACACGAGACTTACTTCTGCATTACAACTGGTACTGCCACCTGGTTCATACTGCAAGCTCTCTCTAATAGTCTAGTGCAATTCACCTGGCAGCATGTAATTTAGTGACAGCCTGTTAAATACTTAGAAAATTACCTGGAGAATGTTAACCTTGGCTGCACAAGTTCTGAGCAAAACTATAGTTGGTTTTGTTGCATAAAAAATGCGGGGGGAAGATTTGCGACTGGCTGAAAGGTAACTTTCAGCCTGATGGGGTAGTCAGTGGTACTGAGATCTGACTGCATGATATCTTGGTGATCTCATGCTAGTAATGGATTTTGTTCGTTAAAGCCTTAAAGCCGCTGTTCCTTGAAAACAGTGTATCATCTGCAAGTGCAGCTTACCCTGAATGTTCATTTTTAAAGCAAGGCTTCTGGATTTGCAGCATTCATTCATTCTGGTTTGGGGCAGAGGAGTGGACAGGCTTGCAGAAAACTGGCTTTAGGTTCCTCTTATATCTATATTTAATTTTATGCCCACTGTACAGGCAGGTATACTTGGTCACCAGTGCTGCACAATCCTGAATAAGTTACCAAGTTAATCAGATAGGTGGAAATAAACCACTGTGGTTCTTCACTCTGTTGTTGGTTTTGCCAAACAGTTTATATCAGTTTTGAAATCTCTGCCAAGAAACAAATCTAGTTCTCATGACTTTTACCACGTAAAAACACAGTACGATTAAGAAGACGTCACTTGACAGATGATGGCAAAAATCTTGCCACCCTAAGAGCTTTGTTTTCAGTCCTACAATGTCCTGGAAGTTTAAGCCTGACCATTATTAGCAGTCTTGGGATAGTTGCCTTTTTTCTTATTTAAAAAAAAAAATAGCTTGTGCTTCTGTCCACCCCATGCTTTCTGTAAGTGTTCATACCATATGAGTCTGACATAACACAGCATGATAGATTTATACTTGGATTTTCCAGTGGAGCAAAGTGTTTCTGCAGCCCTAATTCTTTCTCTTCTAGGGTAGAAGTGAGGAGGAAGACAGAAATATGCAGTCAGTGTGCTATTTAAAAGGGGCCTTTACCGAGTATATATGGACTAGTTATTGTAGTGCACTTGTTAGTGACCTGGCTAAAGAGTAGGCAGCCAAGTGCCCAGAGTATCCTTGGTTTCAGAGCTGACCTGTGTACATAAAGGTCTGCTGCTGTATCATGGCCAGGGAAGGTGTCCGATAACAGTGCTCTGGCATTCCCAATGTCAAAACTTTCACGCACTGACTGCCATTTTTAGACACCAGGAAGGAGTCGTCCATTCCTTGAGGGGTGAGGGCTGTGTTAATGAGAATTGCATGGGCTGACATCCTAAAGGGCGTCAGTACGGAGCGAGTTGAGCGGAGCTGCAGGGTCGCAGGTGAGCTAGGAAAGGTCACGTACAGCTACAGAAGGTGGCTGAAAACAGGAGGCACCTGTTCCGATAGATTGCTAAAGCTGTAGCTGTGTCTGATTAGAAATGATCTAGAAATAGGATATTTTTCAGCAGTGAATATCCTGAATGTTCTCTCCCTTTAGTATTTCTGTCCCGTAATAGCTATACCCATAGTCTAAGACCACATCAGCAAGAGCAGATGTTTCCTTCTGCTGGCTGTGCCGCCGCTGTAGGGATGGTACTCGGTCCCAGCAGAGCTCTCTGCGGCAGCTTCCCGTGATCCAGTCTTGCTCATGCTATCCTGCATTTTGGCTCTTTCCTCTAACATGCACCGCTGCTGCTAGCTCGCTGTTGCAGTAACAACTTCTCTCCTGCCTTTCCTTTGGTTTCGCTTTCTTACACTTTTTTCCCTTTTCCAGAGATGTACATGGAGTTAAGTATAGCATCTGTGCTTACAGAAGTGTTCTGTAGGTGTGGGATAACTAGTGTAACCCTGTGTACACCCATCTTTTGCTGGTTGTAGGAGAACTTCTATGGGAAAATAACATTTCCCGGTGCTGATTTCTTTTGGCTTCCCTAGTTTTACAATGCTTAATAAACCAGAGGCCTAAAGTTACCGTATAATACATTGTAATGAAACCCTGTGAAATTGCCTCTCTATGCACTCCTGTCAGTTACATGTAGTTAGGTTGGCATCAAAATACAGTATCAGAAAATTAATGTACTAATTAATATCCTAAAAGTGAGATGTGAAGCCCTTCTGAATTCAGGGTGAGGCCTGTGTGAGTTCCAGCTTCAGCCTGCACACTGCAACATTTCTGCAAAGCATTCAAAATACCCAAAATCTGTAGGCTAGGAAAGATGCGGTAAACTCCTGTTGCATGCAGAACATGATCCCACTTAGTGCCATTTGTACAGAAAATGGTAAAAGCCTGTCCCGTATCAACCTGTTACAGCCTTCCTGGTTACTGGGAAGCAGAAGTGCTCGGCTGGCAGAGTTGTGCAGCTTTGGGAGTGTGCTGCTAGCGGTGCTGCCCTTTTAGTCCAGGAAGTGTCCAACGTCAGCCACCATTAAATGCAGCGTGGTACTAAAACAAGATTTCCCCATCACTTATTTAATTAGCAATCAGTTACGCCAACTTTAATTTTGCCCAGGGAGAGCATAATACATTCAAGTACCTTAAAAATGAAAATTGATGTTGGAACTGTCTAAACTTGAGGCTTTATTTAAGAAAAACCTTTCAGTTTTTCTTAAATTTTTCTTCGGTTTGCTGGGCCTCAGTGGTATTTAGGTCCCAAACAGAAATCTTGAGGGTTGTTTTGGGTTTTTTTAATAATTTCATTTTTTCTAGAAACTATGGCATTGTTAATGTTGTGTGTATTTACTTTCTTGCTCTACTACCTAATGAGAAACATGGGGAAAAGCCGAGCTGGCTTTGGTGATGGGGAAACTAATCTGGGAAAAATAGCTGAAATTGTTGGGTTGGGGTTTTTGTTTGGCTGCTTAAATTTCAGTACTAAATCTAAGGTTCCACTAATACAAATGTCTGTCTTTGACACAAATCATTCAACTTGATGGTCCCTTTTCTGATAGCTTTGCAATGGTCATAGAGTAGCCTGCCTCTGAACTCCCTTTACATTTACCTTGTGTTTAATTTAAATAATGTTATTAAATAAATATTGCAAGACATTGAACTTTGGATGCTATGACAAACTAATCCTTTTTTTCCTTTGCAATCACTTAGGTTGGCTGAACTATCCATTAGAGAAGATAAGATTCTGGAGGTGTTTGGAGAACATTATCCAAGGAGTTACTGGGGAGAAACCAAGAGCAGATGACATGAAATGGGCTCAGAAAATTAAATAACTTTTGCCAGCCTTCTTCAATCCTTAACTCGTTGCCAATGTTGGGGTATTTTTTTTTTTTTTTTTTTTTTTTTTTTTTTTTTTTTTTTTTTTTTAAATATAAAGCCATCAGCCAAATTCAAGACCTGCAAAGAAATAACAGACTCTAAAGCACAAACTAAAAAGTGTTAACACAGACTGTAATGAAAAGAACTAATTCTTAAAACAATACTTGAAATGAAGATGATTACTCTTACTGAGCACCTTTTCGTTTTAGCCATGTCTGCTTACATCTTAGAAAATACTTCATTACTGTATCTCGTAAGGCTATCAGGCAAGCCGGAAGGCAGGACAGTCACTCCATTGGTACATGGTGGCGTAGTAAACATGTGTTGTATCAACATTATTTAACACTTCAAGAACAGCTTGTTGCCTAAGACCTATAGGGGGAATGGTGACAACAGTTTGTCACTTCATGTTTGAGTCCAAGTACACTGCATGAAAACAGTGTGTCAGAGTAATGGAAGCCTATAAAATCATCACTGTTCAATGCACTTAGTGATTGATAAACTTACAGCTCTGTCTTTGCTATCATGTTAAATCTAATTGATGTAATGTGGAACAGACTTCAACAATCCCACTCCACTAATGGGCCACGAATCCTCAAGTGTCTTCAATTTCCCTTAAAATAAAATTGTTCTACTCTCTACGTGGAATTGAGCAAACCGTTTCTGCATAAGCCTTCAACTCAACGAGCCTCTGAGGAGAGGGAGGGCATCCTGTACAAGACATGCTCGGGTCTGTTCATGTGGAGTGCTCACTGATGAGTCGTCGATTAAGTGTTCCCTACCCTGACAATAAATGTTTAAAATAGTTCTAGCATTGGGCACATTGCAAATAGCTGTACTCAAGAGCTCAAGGTATCAAACCTGTATGTTAGAAGGGAAATGCTAATGACTGGTGTTTTGGTTTTTTTGTTTTTTGTTTTTATTTTTAAGGTGCTTGCTTGTTTCTGTAAATAATATAAAGCCTTAATCTCTTCTGGTGTAATGGAATAATATTTTAATGTGATGTTTGAATGTATATAATATATTTATAACAAAGCAGTTGGATAATATTAATCATGTTTGTTAAGTCTTGTTGCTGTTTTTCATTCATGCATTGTCAGCACTTAGTCCAAGAACTTGGTTCTTGGTTGCAGAATGCTTCATGCTGTTCTAGCTGCCTGAAACACTTTGCAAGCCTGTTAAGTCTCGTTTTGATTGAGGTGATCACTTGTTTATCAGTGTTGTAGGAGCTTGACACTGTATTATGCCAGACTTCAACTGCACTTTCAAAAAGTGCAAGTAATTCTGCTTTGGATGCTAAGGAGTAACTGCCGGGTTGGGGGCGGAGGGAGAGAAGTTTGCCTGAGAACATCCAGCAGGCACTTTATCATGTTCATGTGATTTGGATTGGTTTAATTCTTTCCTAAATGAAAGCTTACTGATGGTCAAATCTGAGACTATTTTTCCCTTCCCTAGTTCTAAATTGCGTTGAATTCAAACTGGCTTTTCCTGAAGAGCATGGTAAGGTGGTTTTGAGTCATAGGTTTAGACAGACCTTGATCTCAACTTCTTCCGGTACAATGGACCACAACTTCGGAAAGCGTCAGGACTTGGCAACTCTCCTTTAGGAGTCTCAAAACACATTTAGTTGAAATGGGAGGAAGAGGAAGGAGTGCTCCTTTAATGCTGTTACTGTGGAAGACAGACATGTGATTTCATGCTATCTTTGGTGAAAAGAGCAGGTTTTCCCCTTTTTCTCCCACCCACACCATCAAAAGCCTTGGCAAAGGCGGCCATGTACAGGAACGTAGAGCACTGCGGGGAGCAGCCAGGAGGCTGCAGGCTCGGTTAGGGAAGATTGCTGCAAGCTGGTGAGCTCTTTGTTAATTATTGCCTACTTCTCCCAGATCTGGGTGTTTAAGAGGTTTGATTCTGTGCCAAACACGTTGGCTCAAAGTCGTTCCTCGAAGTCATTTTATATCTCTACTTGTTTTAATTTCCAGGCATTGATTATTCAGCTTCATGTTAAAAAAAAAAAAAATGAGATGTGAATATAAATTTGAGTGGGAAGAAAGGCAACTTCTGTCATTGTGGAAGCCAGTGTGGTGATCGTTACTCTGAATCAGTGATGTTAGATCCATTAATATTTGCTATTTGTGGCTGAAACTTATTTTAAATGTCTTTGGCATGACAGGTGTGGAACTGAATATAAAGGTGAGGATGCAAACTACCATGTGTCCAGAGCAAAGAATGCTTCTCCCTCCTCTTCTCCCCTTCCAGTGTGAGTGTCCTGCAGCTTTAGAGGTATAGGGATGCTTAGGGAACATCTATTGCTGCGAGTGCAAAGAGCTGCAGTAGTTTATTTCTGCCATCTTGACAAGAGTTTAAATTCACATCTGCTTCTACCTTGAGACTCCCATAATCCATATTCTAACAGATTTGTAGTCCTTGGTTGTCTGTTCCTCCTGCCCTCATCCCTTTCTTCCTCTTTCCCGTAGAGCACTGCGGGGAGCAGCCAGGAGGCTGCAGGCTCGGTTAGGGAAGATTGCTGCAAGCTGGTGAGCTCTTTGTTAATTATTGCCTACTTCTCCCAGATCTGGGTGTTTAAGAGGTTTGATTCTGTGCCAAACACGTTGGCTCAAAGTCGTTCCTCGAAGTCATTTTATATCTCTACTTGTTTTAATTTCCAGGCATTGATTATTCAGCTTCATGTTAAAAAAAAAAAAAATGAGATGTGAATATAAATTTGAGTGGGAAGAAAGGCAACTTCTGTCATTGTGGAAGCCAGTGTGGTGATCGTTACTCTGAATCAGTGATGTTAGATCCATTAATATTTGCTATTTGTGGCTGAAACTTATTTTAAATGTCTTTGGCATGACAGGTGTGGAACTGAATATAAAGGTGAGGATGCAAACTACCATGTGTCCAGAGCAAAGAATGCTTCTCCCTCCTCTTCTCCCCTTCCAGTGTGAGTGTCCTGCAGCTTTAGAGGTATAGGGATGCTTAGGGAACATCTATTGCTGCGAGTGCAAAGAGCTGCAGTAGTTTATTTCTGCCATCTTGACAAGAGTTTAAATTCACATCTGCTTCTACCTTGAGACTCCCATAATCCATATTCTAACAGATTTGTAGTCCTTGGTTGTCTGTTCCTCCTGCCCTCATCCCTTTCTTCCTCTGTCCCTCACCCTTGGCTCCAGTTTGAGTTAAGTAAATTGGTGTCAAAGCCCAGTACAGAACTGGGTGGATGCTCAGGACTCTTGTGTAAAACAGTCTTAAGCACCAAGTCCTTTGAGAGCTCATTTGCTTATTGCAAATTTAAATGCCCAGTGAACAGCAGTGGTGCAGTGTATATAACAAATGGATTGGAAGCATGTCAATTAGAATTTGTACTTCAAGAGTGCTGTTAAAGGCAATAGCTGTTGCCCAAACCTCTCTCAGCCACTTGATCTATCGTCTTACTGGAAGCAAATCTGAGTTACTAATACTGGTGGCTGCTGGGACTATCTATGTGTTAATCTTGCTTATTCTGAGAAACTGGGACAGCAGTTAATCTCTGGCTGCTGTTTTACGTGCTGATGCGGTGCTGGAGTCCTGAGGTAGCTCTCGCTCGGAGCGACGTGAGGTGTCGGACGTGGCTGGCATCTCCCGTATAGATGTCACTGTTCGTAAGGCGATGTCGAGGGGCACGGCCTGGCAGCAAGGCTTGGTTTTGTAATCCTTGAGCTCTCCTTCCCTGCTGTGAGCTGAGGCATATCTTAATGCTTTCTGCCCCTTGGAGGAGGGTTAATGAATGCCTGTGTGAATGGGCTTGGGTTTCAGTCTGCAGCTAGTTACTGGAAACTGGTCCGCCTGCTTTGAGTAGTGGATGCTCCTGTAAAAATCAGTGCGGCAATTCCGGAGCAAAAGGCTATGTGGATCCTTTTTAACAGGCGTAAATCTGGCTTAAGATAAATTTGTCTTAAGTTGATTAGGAACAGATCAGAGCTAAAGCAGAATAAGGCGCTCCTTTTAAACTCCACAGAGGTGGCCTGCGTTTCAGTTTAACTAAATGCTTTTAAAAGCTATTTGACTCCAGCCTGTCGCTTCCACAGAAAGGTACGGTTAGTCTCCTGCTTGTTGGACCCCCAGGAGAACGTCTTTCAGGGCTTCGACGTCTGCCAAGTCTGTAGTTGCTCTCCAGCGACCCGGCTCCCTGTGGTAACGTGAGGGCCTAGCAGGAGTAGATGTTATTTCTTCATGTGTAATAAAGATCCTACAGGCAGAGCTGTTTGGGGACTCACTTGCAAGGGGAAGCATTGCACTGTGGTAAACTGAGGAAAATTACTGCAAAGTGCCTTAAAATCCTGCTCGGCCTTTTGTTAAGCCAGTGTCCAGGACCGCCTGCTGGGGCTGGGTTTGGTGTTTGCTTTGAAGGTCCCACGGACACATTTCCAACTGCTTGGCTTTCTGATGTCTCTTGACTTCTCCAATTTTGTTTCATTTTGCTGCTGGATCAACTCCTCTGTGTTCTCTCCACTCGCCTGCAGCCTTGACCTGCTGTCTGCCTCTGTGAAATCCCAGGGGCAAACAAGGAGAGCCCCTTCTCAGAGCTGGCGTTTGCTGGGGTAAACGTGGAGCCGTTGCACCGCACAAGGAAAGGGGGTACCCTTTAAGCCAGCCTAGAGACCACAAATACATAGACAAAAGTCTGTCTTTCTGGTATGTATTTGTTCTGTGCTATTAAAAAAAAAAAAAATAAAAAAAAATAAAAAAAGCTCAAGAACTGCTCTGGCCCACCACTGTTTGCACAAGGCACCAGGGCCAGCATGGCTGTATGAAATAAGGCCAAACTAGGGCCTTTTGGCTCAGGTGCGGTGTCTGTAGTCCTGGAATTTGGCTTGCAGCAGGCCTAGAAAGTGGAGCTCAGGTTAAACTAGTGACCCACCTTGCCCCCCAAAGATTATCCTGCCGGATGGAGAGGGACTCTGGCTGCTTGCTGTCCAACATGGTTATCCCAGCGGCTCAGCAGCACCAGGGCCTCTCCTGCAGGCTGGGTCCCTGGCCAGGATTAGCGAGCTCTTATGCCACCTAGCTGCCTTGCTCTTGGCTTCCTCAGCGGCTGCTCTCCGCCACCTGGAAATGCAGTACAAGAACTAAACAAAATACAATCCAACCAGCAAGACCCACATTGCTATTTTAAAGTAGCTTCAAAGAATAATTGATAGAACCGGTACCTTGGCTCTGTTTGCTGCTAAAAGCTGAGTAAAGTTGACTTCACTGAGTAAATGGCTTAAAACACAGTGGGTCTCCAAAACATTTTGGTTTGTAATTGTTTCTGCAAATTTTCATATGATGTCTTGGGGCATAGTTTTTTGAATATGTGTTGCAAGACAAAGCAGTATTCATTTACCTTTTTTTTTTCCCTCTTATTATTGTGTTAATGGGAGAGGGCTGAGGGAAGATGCACTGTTGATTAAAGCACAGCACTGTAGATCTTCTCGTGATCTTTATGTCTCTTCTGGCTACGTCTCTCTGGCTACAGCTCTTCTAGATTCCCATCAGGTAGTTTAGGCCTGAGAATATTTTTCATTGCCATGTATTGGCCAGCAGCAACCTCCTGAAACACAGTAAGAAACACATGGATGTGCTTCATGTCCTCTCTTCTGCAGAGGCGGTGGCCCAGTCCTGATCCCGGGCTGTCACCCCAGCAGGCTGAAGCCCCTTGCCTGCCCCCCCACACCCAGTTTGCTTGTTCCTGCACACCAGTGGCCGGCTGCGTGCTGCTGGGCACAGGTCGCTGTCTGGCTGTAACTGGTGGAGGGTGGCCAGCAAAAGGCAACCAGTTCCATTTCCCCCCTCGGCACAGAGCTGTGTCCTGGGGCTCCCCTTGCCCCAACATCGCAAGAAGATTGGGGGTGCAAATGCATAAACAGCATCAGGTTATTAGCTGCTACTGCGGCTCGTGTTCTGGCCAGAAGGGACGTAGTTCGCCGTTTATTCACGTTAATTGCATTTGAGTTTTATGGGCTGTTAAATGCTGGGGAGCCGGCTGGTGTTTCAGAGCTCCCCGGGTAGCTCGCTGGGGTTGCTTTCTCCAGGGCTGCCTGCCGGAGGCGGGGAGCAGGGCAGGGCAGCCTGGCAGAGCCGCTGCCCC